ATTAACCATCGCCTCCTTAACCGATCATAATCGCCCTTCAAATGTTCCAAGTCCAGCAACAGACAGGCTTGCTGTTGGTGCAATCAACGCTTTAGTACTTCAGCTCGTGAATGTATCAATTCTTACAACTTTGCCGAGAAGCAGGGAAACTTCTTGGATGGCCCGTAACGGTGACGGACTCGACCGGCCAGCACCAAAGTCTCCTCATCCGCGTTAGGGATTTAATTTCCAGCACCGAGTTCCTAGTCGACACTGGAGCCAAACTTAGCGTTATACCCCGTATCTCAGATGAGGTCATCTCTTTCTCGACGAACGAGCTGCGTGCCTGCAGTAGCACAGCAACTTTCGGCGAACAGCTGCTAACACCCAATTTAGGCCTCCGGCGAACGTTTCACTGGCCTTTCATAGCAGCCGTGCCTTTCGCCATCATAAGCATAGACTTTCTTGAACGCTTCAACCTCATCCTCGACGCTAAAAGGAAGAAACTTATCGACTCTAGGACACAGCTCAGTGTTATCGCGACTAGCGCCAACGTGGCCGTTATCACTCTCATTCGTGTCCTACCTCAAGCTTCACAGCCTTTTATAGAACTTTTCAACAAATATCCTAAACTCGTTCGCGTTCCGAACGACTTGTCTCCTGTGACGTCAAACGTCTTGCATCACATTTGCACTAAGGGTCCACCTGTTTCTGCCCGCTCTCGCAGACTAGCCCCGGACAAGCTCAAAGCTGCTAAGGCGGAATTCGAGCAAATGCTCGAACTTAGAATAATCTGCCCGTCCAAAAGTCCATGGGAATCACCATTACACATGGTACCGAAGAAATCCGGTGACTGGCGCCCCTGTGGTGACTGCAGGGCACTTAACAAAGTTACCGTCCCGGATAAATACCCAATTCCGCACATGCACGACTTAACCTCAGTCCTAGCTGGTAAGTCAATCTTTAGCAAAGTCGACCTAATTCGCGCCTATCATCAGATACCTGTCGCGCCAGACGACATTGCTAAAACAGTAGTCATCACGCCATTCGGCCTATTCGAGTACCTCAGCATGCCTTTCGGCCTCAGCAACGCTGCCCAAACTTTTTAGCGTTTCATTCATGAGGTAACGCGAGGACTCGAAGGCATTTATCCTTATCTAGATGACATTCTCATCGCCAGCTCTTCTGACGAGGAACATCTTCATCATCTCGACGCTTTCTTTCAACGCTTAACACAACATGGGGTTACCGTCAACCCCGATAAATGCGAGCTTGGCCAAAGCTCCACTGACTTTCTTGGCCACCGAATATCCGCCTCTGGTATTGAAGCTCTACCAAACAAAATCCAGGCACTGAATGACTATCCTGCTCCCAGTTTCTTCAAACAGTTACGTTGATTGCTTGTCCTGGTTAACTATTGTCGACCCTTTATTCCTAACTGCGCGAGCATTGTTCAACCAATGACTGACTTGCTCCACGGTAAACAACGCTCTTTTCATTTTGCAGGCGACGCGAGACTGCCTTTTGAGAAGCTCAAAGACGCTATCTCCAACATAGTGCTTTTCGCCCACTCAGACACATCAGCACCACTCTCCCTGACAACTGACGCATCCGACACTATCGTCGGGGCAATTCTTCATCAACTCATCGACCATCGATGGATACCTCTAGGTTTCTTCTCGAAACGTTTACAACCTGCCGAATCGCGTTACAGCACCTTCGGAAGGGAACTATTAGCTGTCTGCCTAGGTATCAAACATTTCCGTCACTGTCTCGAAGATCGACATTTCACAGTCTTCATTGACCACAAGCCATTGATATACGCAATCAGTGGCGCAACAGACAAGTATTCTCCGCCGGAAACTAGACATCTAGACTACGTTTCTCAGTTTACGACAAACGTACGATATGTCTCAGGTGCCCTCAATCCCGTCGCGGATGCGCTTTCACGCATTCATCAGATCAGCTTATCGCCTGGCATCAACATTGACCTAGCCGCCATGGCTGCTGCCCAACATTCTGATCCCGACGCAACACCTCGATGAAACTACGCGAAGTTCCACTAGCTTCATCTGAGGGGACCATTCTTTGTGACACCTCACAAACTTCTCCCCGACCCCGTAGTTCCTACTTCGATGCGTTGACTTGTTTTCAAAGCTTTACTCAACCTGTCTCATCCCGACATACGTGCTTCGCAGAAGCTCATAACCGAGCGCTTCGTATGGCCCAACATCAACCGCGGTGCTCGCCTTTGGGCACGCACATGCTTAGAGTGTCAGAGCGCCAAGGTATACAGACACACCAAAAGCCCACTTGGCATCTTTCCAGCTCCTGACTCTCGTTTTGCACGCATCCATGTCGACTTGGTTGGACCTTTGCCTCCATGCATAGGCTACGTAAAATTCATCACCTGTGCCGACCGATTCACCCGTTGGCCAGAAGCGATTCCGATAGTCAACTGCTCATCTGAGACAGTTGCACAAGATTTCCTGGAACTCTGGGTAGCTCAATTCGGTCGCGCAGGCATAGTCATCACCGACAGAGGATCATGCGTTGACGGATCCTTCAGCAGACTTCTCAACGTTCTTGGTTGCCAGCACAACCGAACACCGCATACCACCCTGCAGGTAATGGGATGGTAGAACGGTTCTACCGGCAACTCCATGCATCATTCTGTGCCCAATCTAACACATCCTGGCACGAAGCACTTCCGCTCATTCTCTTAGGCATAAGAAACACGATTAAAGCGGATTTGCGCGTTACTCCTTCTTCGCTAGTCTTTGGATGCCCACAACGCTCACTTGGTGAACTCGTCTCACCAAATGCACCAGCAACCTTCGACTATGGCGACTACCCAGCTCGCCTATCTCATCACATGCGACAGCTTCAGCCTGTGCGACCCAGAGTACAGAGCTTGCGTACGAACGTCGACGAACAGCTTGCTACTTGCACGCACGTGTTCGTTCGCACTGACAGCGTACACCGACCACCTCAACCTCCTTATTCTGGCCCGTACCGTGTCGTATGCAGAAGCGACAAGGCGTTTACCATTGACTACAATGGTAAGACTGAGACGATCAACCTTGATCGACTCAAACCAGCATTCCTCGACAAGTCTGACACTTCGGTGCAACAAGCACCTTCATAGCCTACGCCATCACAGCTCGCACTGCAACCTAAGACCAGTCAGTTTGCTCCAACAGAACCGACAGCCTCAACCGACGTCACCCCTTCACGACCCATTATCAATCGAAATGGTAGGGAAGTGAAACCCTCAGTACGTTTTTCCGATTTCATTAGCGTTTGCTACATCCCATAGACCACTCCTTGCATGTTTTCTGCCCTTGCCATACGTTCTCCAAAATTCACAAAAAATACTAAAACCTTTTGAAACTACCAATAAAGAGTAAAACCTTTTCATAACCCAAAAAGCTATGCACGTTTTTAGCTTTGCACTCGTTTTTGTATTGCTATGCATTTACACTGCTTTTTCCTTTTGCTTTTCACATACTCCGTCGGTTGGTTGCACCTTGGTTTTACTTGTCGCTGCATTCCCGCACGTCAACTGTAAGTGAAACGAACTTTCTGCTCAGCCACCTACATGAACAGTTTTTTACCGTTTGGACATCGTACAGTTGACACGGGTGGGAGCCCGCTAGGGTCCGATTGCATGGTTCTCCCCCAGCAGCTGCATCAGATTTCATAATCTGCTTACACAGTCCCTTCTGGGGGAGAGCTATGTAGCAGTCTGGAGATGCCCCGGTTTGCCTGTGTAAAATACTAACTAAGCTTATTTCATTGTACACCTAGGCGACCGGTGTGGTTTGTTGAACTGATTGCTGAGTTCGAATGCTTGACTTGCTCATCGCCATTTGTTGCTTGGCGCTCGTTTCAGTTTGTAACGCGCGACTGCCCTGTGTGCTGTGCATCCTCCGTTCCCCTAGCTAAAGCGTCAACAATGTCGCTTTTTTATAGCTGGGTAACAGTTTCCCTGCAACTCGATCTGCATTTTCGAATCGGTCTCCGTGCTCTCGCTACAGACTGCTCGCTAAAACTTCCGTAGTCACTCGAAGTTAATGCAGTTTTTCCCCAAATGCCAGATTTTTGATAGCAGGAATTCTGCGGTTCCTTATCCAGACAACACATAGTTAAAGACGTAGTTCTACATACAGGGAGGAGTTAAGGCTGGTAAAATAGGTTTATGGTTCCAATGAACATGACAAACGACATCCTACCTTACAGCTTAATTTTGGCTTAACTATGCATATTGATAACGGTTTGGCAATGCTTAATGTCAGTGGGAAGAGGCTAACTGCTGTGATGTATAGCAACATTTCGGGATCGGTGTAGATGAAAGCATGACCGCACACTCAACACCGTTAATGCATTCACGCCTCACTTTAGCATCACCAGTCATATAGTTGGGCAAAACTCAAGGAGAATGAAATTGAAAAGGAAGAAGAGGTCAGATGTGATACTCCTTTATCAAACTTGCCGATGTGCTTATTTTTATGGGTATACACTGGACATTCACAGTAAACACATGACCACGAGTCTCATCTTTTGGCGCACACTGTTTACCATTAAGCTATCTTCACTTATCCAGTCCGACAAAATAAATATGAGCAACAAAACCGCTTCCAAGAATGATGTCAGCGAAATAGCTGGTGTCCATTATTCTCCCTGTTAGCCTGCGTTGTGTCCGTGAAGTAGAAATCTATTTTACCGTAAACAGCAAAACTTCTGTTGACGGCACCTGTGCTTCTATTCACATTATTGTTTAATCCTGTGGAATGTTATAGTGTCGAGCAGCTTGTTTCATCCCAGTTACCTTATCTGGAATTCCCTAACTAGCTTAACTTCCCTCTTCTCTCAACGACATTTTTTGCTCCATTAACACCCACAGCTGCGCCCCATCGATCTCTCGGGAATTCTCTGCCCCACTTTTATCATACTACTGTTTGTAGAATGGTGGCGTTCTCAGGCCCACTGATTATGTGCATATCTCTCCTTCGATACAGCCTGGTTGCCGCCTATCTGCTTCACAATGGGTACTTGGAGACTGCAACCGCTCTGGGTGGCTGGACTTCCAAACCGGCGTCAACTGGCCAACTGGCTAGTGGCGACTTTGACGAGAAGTCCTCGACTATTGAGGCCGGAACAGGGTATCACCAGAAAGCTAGCGGAACCACATTTGCAAATGGGTCTCTGGAAACACCTGTGAGTGATTTGTCCTCACCCCACGAGACTTTCTTTCACCTCCAGTCAGACGCACACCAAGGCACGGAAGAATCCGATTACTTCCTTGTGTGGCCAGAAGAGCAAGACTTGCTTTTGAAGCGTCGTCAGCTTTGCGACGCGATTCGCTGCGGCGACTATTTGTCCGCCCTGACTCAGTTGGAGATGCATTTTCAGCAACTCACAAAACAAGATCCTTCCATTGGTTTTGTCTTGCGCTGTCACCACTTCATAAATCTCGTAAGTTTCTTGTGCATTTGGGCCGAGTGTTGGAATACCGTTTCTATCTCTTGCCCCTAGCTCGATTCGGTCACGTCCCCCACTATGAAACCATCGCATTGCACTAATTGGCTGGTCAGGGCACATTTTCCTCCTAAAGCAGGTTCGCAAGTCCGACGAAACGCGCGATTGATCTGATGTGTTGTTATATGCAACTTTGACCACCAGGGGGCCTTAACCGGATTTTTATATAAAGAGTCAGTCGTTTAAACTTGTTCACTTTCGCCCTGGACCTTTTTCTGTCTATGTCAACCTTGTTACTTGATTAAATTTTCGGATGTGTGGTTGGTTGTTTGCTAAATGACAACTATGGTTATACATCTCTCAATATCACTAGACAGCCCACTGCAATATCTGACTGAAGTGACTGCACTATTGGCATTTGCCGAAGTACTGTCACAAAGCTTCACCTCTGTTGTTCGATGCAACGTGTCAACTACTTTATTTGCTGCAGTCGTGCACGAGGATTTATGTTGGATAAATACTGACTTGTACCTCTCATGGGCGTAGTAGCTCATTGAACCGGGCAATGGAATGGTTATTTATTAGCCTGTTGATTAATTTATTCGGGTTTATGTTCATGCTCGGTTTTTGCATGCCTTCAGCTAACCTTCAGTGAATTGTAATACGGGAACTTAAGGTCACCTCATTGTCCATAGCAAGCAATCGCTTAGCAGTGGAATATTTTTCGTCTATGTTGACATTCTTCATATTTGGAACTCAGGTGGTTACATATTGAAATCGCTGTCCCCTACCAAACAGAATTTCCACCACATTTTGTCCGCACCGTGTCATGCTTCGACGAATGTCATTATCGGGTGTACCCCGGTAGCTGAGACGCAGGCTTATGAGTTCGCACTGGTCCGTTTTCATTTTAAGAGTGAATGGCCTCAAGATCCTCTCTTCGCTTCTATGTCTCTTGAAGGTCGTTACTTCTACGCGTCTTACAGTTCATTCCACCTGGCTGGTTAGTGTACTCTGTCCGTGACACGTGCGACCCGCATACATGGCTGTGTGCTCAAGGGTTAGGCCAAACTCAGTCGTTTTGTCACTTGTCTTCTGTGCACTTGGCTTATAACAGCAGGATATAGGCTCTTAGCGATATCAGAGGGGTAATCTGTGAGAGACTTCCCACTTCCAATGGAAGTAACTAGTTTGCACTTAAGAAGCTGCCTGCACCAAGGGTTAGTGACTAAGTATTGGAGCACGGGACTCGTGGGCAGTTCTTTGCTTCGAATGAGTACACTGCACTTGAAGGAGCAAGTTCGGTACGAAGACCTTCGGTAACTGCGTCCTCATTGCACCCGTTCATATTGTTGGAGTTAATAAGCTCGTAGGTGAAACCGCGGCACATGGCTGCATAATGCCCTTGTAGTCCTTTTTTGGCAGTAGTCGAGGCGGACTTGTGAGTCGGTGTCGTGTTTGTGTAATCTTTCGCTGTGTTTTAGTCCCAGATGTTGGCATTCGGCGGCGTCATCACGCCACTGATTAGTATGTTTCTCGGCGCCTATCGGTGGGTGTCGTGCACTGAAGACACGCCTGCTTTGAACAAAAGGACGCATCTAATGCTTATTTTGGGGGATAATGCGGTTGATTCTGTTGTGTCCGCTTTGAACCCGGAAGGGCAATGGGTCCATTTATCTTGTCTCTCGCGCCCACTGCAATAGCTATTGACGAAAGCGACATAGAGAAGAGGTAAGGCAAACAAGAACTAAACATTCATGGGCACGCACTCTTGTTAGCTTTCCGATTGGCATCGCGTTCATCGTAATTCGTTTTCTGTTGCGTGCAATATTTATCATGCTGGATCTTCGGGGCACTAATTAACTTGGTAAATTACAACAAACAATAGCCAACATATTCCTCGATATTGCGATGCACAGTCCAACTGAATGGTTCTATCATTATGTACAGCGGGATCGTATGGAACAGATCATTTCTCACAACTTTTCCAGTACAGTTCTCAATTTATGTTTTGGGCTTATTGATCGGCTGAATCCCTAGAATTTTGAGGTTGCCAATACTAATAGATGTAGATGAATCCAAATCATCAAGTGAACTAATACGGCCATCCATGGAATCGTCTCCTGGGAGCATGCTTTCATGCGGGACCTTCCCTCTTAAGGCCCGATCGTGGACTCCTTACCGCTTACGCAACTGGGTCTTGCTTTGTTTGCCGCAGTTAGAATTATCCTCGCTTTCCATACTGTGATTCATGTCTCTGGAGCTTACAGAATATCACGAACGGCACCAGTAGCGCGTTCTCTGTTATGTGCTAGTCAGGCTGCCTGTTTAAAGTGTATCTGGTGCCGATATATCCGTTGGGTGGGGCTAATTTTAACTGGGGCAGTGAAAGGCGCAAAGAAGCTGTCTCTTCTCCCGCCTTATTTTCGCGCCACCACCAACGACTTGTCACCGTACGCTATTAACAAGGTCTAAGCCCCTTAACCCGGGATGGTTGTCCATGGTGTTTGGGTTTTACATAGAATCCATTTTCTATCCTTCTTGTTATTCCTGATTCACTAGATCATTATGGTTGTGCGACAACGGAGCTGCTGTCGCTGATAATAGTGATGAAAGAGCTTCATTTACTGCGTTCAACCCTGTCACCATTGCTGATGAATCACTATCGATCTCAAAATTATGTGACATCGTCCTGTTCACGTTCTTAGGACGCCCGCCAGCCTAATCAATCCTACCCGTCGTATGCTTTTCGAATAGATCACTGCGCGTTCACCATTTCATCGCCATGCCGCTGACTTATGAATACGTTTTTGAATTAAGGGCTTTCGTTGAATACCCTAAGCGTCCCCTGCCTAGGTCTGAGCACCCTGGCACTATCTCAGACCACGTGCTAACTACATGGGTATAACCTAACCCCAGTGGTGGCAAATTACTAACCTCAATTCTCTTTCTTCGACTCATTGTCGAACGGGAATCCCGGATTAAAGAAAAACAAGCAGTTGTCTGCTCAGGTCGGGGCTGTATTGACCACATATGCACTCTGCAGGCGATGCTAGAGCAGCGCCACACGTTCCGCAGGCCGACAATTGCTGTGTTCCTGGTGCTTTCGACTCAGTCGATCGACTTATTCCTTTAAAAAACGCGCAAATATTCCCATGAAACATGGGCATTTTGCGTGCCCTGTATTACAACGCCACAGGCCGCGTCAGTTTCTACTTTGATTTGTCGGATATCTTCCCGACAACAAGTGGCGCTCGTCAGGGTCGTCCAATTTCCCGTTTTTCTTCGACTTCATCGTGGACTCCATCATTGAGTGTTCACTTGCGGAATCCCACAGTGCAGCCGCTGATGTGTTGCCTGTCGAAAAGCTAGTTGATCTTTATTATGCGCACGGTAATGTCTTAACTCCTTAAATAAACTTTTCATTTTGTGTAGGTCCGTCGCATTTAGACAGGCAGACTGCCACCACACATCCAGGAAAGCGGTACACGGCCGTTTCTTCCTATTGGGACTCGTCTGTAGTGCGCACCCGCCGAATCCTGCCGGATTCGAAACCACGCCCTTACTCTTGCGATTCAGCGACTTATGCTGCTGAGCCATGGGCGAGGGCAGCGGACCGCCATGACTGCTATCTAATTGCGATATAGCGCAGCTCATCCTCCACTGTTTTGCATGTTATGAATTTGCAGTGGACAGGGTTAGCACCCAGAGCAACGACTTCGTTTGCAAGCCGCCACCAATCGAGGTGACCTTTATGCCGCTAAGGCGAGTACTGATTATTTGTAATTCGTAGGTGATTTATGAGCTGTTTGTGTAGGCTCGTTGCGGTTAGACACAGACAGGCAGGCACCACACATCCGGGAAAGCGCTAGACAGCGATTTTGTCCTGTTGGGACTCGTCTGTACCGCGGACCTTTCAAATTCCAACCCACGACCTTACTCTTGCGAGTCAGCGACTTATGTCACTGGGCCTGGGCGACGGCGGCTAACCGCCTTGATTGATATGTTACTGCGAAATAGCGCGGCTTATCGTCCACTGTCTTACATGTTATGAATGTGTGAGGACAGGGCTGGCCCCCAGAGCGATGACTTCTTTTGCAAGCGGCGACCAATCGAGGTGGCATTTGTGCTGCTAAGGCGAGTACTGATTATTTGTAAGTGTTTGGAGGATTTATTAAGATTTTATGTAGGCTCGTCTCAGTTAGACACAGCCAGACAGCCACCACACATTCAGGAAAGCGGTGGACGGCCGTTTCTTCCTATTGGGACTGGTCTGTAGTGCGCACCCGCCGTTATCCTGCCGAATTCGAACCCGGCGACCTTACTCTTGGGATTCATTGACTAATATTACTGAGCCATGTGCGAGGGCAGCGGTCCGCCACGACTGATATCTAACTGCGATATATGGCAGTTCATCCTCCACTGCCTTGCATATTATGAATGTGGGGAGGACAGGGCTAGCCCACAGGGCATCGACTTCGTTTGCAAGCCGCTACCAATCTAGGTGGCATTTGTGCTGCTAAGACGATTACTGATTATTTGTAAGTGGTAGGGGATTTATTAGGTTTTTGTGTAGGTTCTTCGGAGTTAGACACAGGCAGGCAGTCAACACACATCCAGAAAAGCAGTAGACAGCCATTTTGTCCTATTGGGACTCGTCGGTACCGCGCAACTGTTGGATTCGAACCCACGACCTTACTTGTGCGAGTCAGCGACTTATGTCACTGAGCCATGGGCGACGGCAGCGGACCGCCATGACTGCTATCTAATTGCGATATAGCGCAGTTCATCCTCCACTGTCTTGCATGTTATGAATGTGCAATGGACAGGGTTGGCACCCGGAGCAACGACTTCGTTTGCAAGCCGCCACCAATCGAGGTGGTACGTAAGCTGCCAATACGAGTACAGATTATTTGTAAGTGGTGGAGCGATCTATTAGGTTTTTGTGTAGATTCGTCGCAGTTAGACACAGACAGGCAGGCACCACACATCCGGGAAAGCGCTAGACAGCGATTTTGTCCTGTTGGGACTCGTCTGTACCGCGGACCTTTCAAATTCCAACCCACGACCTTACTCTTGCGAGTCAGCGACTTATGTCACTGGGCCTGGGCGACGGCGGCTAACCGCCTTGATTGATATGTTACTGCGAAATAGCGCGGCTTATCGTCCACTGTCTTACATGTTATGAATGTGGGAGGACAGGGCTGGCCCCCAGAGCGATGACTTCTTTTGCATGCCGCCACCAGTCGTGGTGGCATTTGTGCTGCTAAGGCGAGTACTGATTATTTGTAAGTGTTTGGAGGATTTATTAGGTTTTTGCGTAGGTTCTTCGCAGTTAAACACAGGCAGCCAGCTACCACACATCCAGGAAAGCGGTGGACGGCCGTTTCTTCCTATTGGGACTCGTCTGTAGCGCGCACCCGCCGAATCTTGCGGGATTCGAACCCGGCGACCTTACTCTTGCGAGTCAGCGAGTTATGTCACTGAGCCATGGGCGACGGCAGCGGACCGCCTTGATTGATATCTAACTTCGAAATAGCGCAACTCATCCTCCACTCCCCTACATGTTGTGAATGTGCAAAGGACAAGGCTGGCCCCTAGAGGAACGACTTCCTTTACAAGCGGACACCAATCGAGGTGGAACGTAAACTGGTAGGGCGCTTACTGATTATTTGTATGTAGTAGGGGATTTATTTAGTTTTTGTGTAGGTTCGTCGCAGTTAGCATAGGCAGACAGCCACCACACATCCAGGAAAGCGATAGACGGGGGTTTTGTCCTATTGATGCTCGTCTGTAGTGCGGACCTTTAAATCTTGCTAGATTCGATCCCACGACCTTACTCTTGCGAGCCAGCGGCATATGTCACTGAACTATGGGCCAGCGCAGCAGGCCTCCATGACTGCTATCTAACTGCGATATATCGCAGTTCATCCTCCACTGCCTTGCATGTTATGAATGTGCAGTGGACCTAGCTAGCCCCCAGTGCATTGACTTCATTTGCAAGCGGCCACTAATCTAGGTGGCATTTGTGCTGCTAAGACGATTACTGATTATTTGTAAGTGGTAGGGGATTTATTAGGTTTTTGTGTAGGTTCGTCGCAGTTAGACACACGCAGACAGCCACCACACGTCCAGGAATGCGCTAGATAGCCATTTTGTCCTATTGGGGCTCGTCAGTAGTGCGCACCTTCCGGATTCGATCCTACTACCTTACTTTTACTACTCGGCGACTTATGTTACTGAGCCATGAGCCTTGATTCCTATCTAATTGTGAAATAGCGCGGTTTATCCTCCACTGTCTTACATGTTATGAATGTGCAGAGGACCGGGCTGTCCTCTAGAACAAAGTCTTCCTTTGCAATCCGCCACCAATCGAGGTTGCATGTATGCTGCTTAGGCAGGTACTGCTTAGTTGTAAGTAGCAGGGGGTTTTATTGGGTTTTTGTGTACGTTCGTCGCAGTTAGCACAGACAGACAGCCACCACTCCTCCACGAGATCGCTACACAGCCATTTCGTCTTATTGGCACTCCCCAGTATCGGATAATGATGTCTGGATTGAGAGCAAATGTTGACTGAGACGAATTGATTTTGTCTTGCCTCTAACCGCTGTCTCACGTACCTAATTTTAAAACAGCTATCTCACGGTATGCAGTAATTCGACGAAACTTGCACTGGGTCATCTCAAATCTGCTAGTGCACTTACCTTGTTTTATAACAGTCAGACATTTTTCACGTTCGGTACATTCCAGAACCTGTTTTAACGAAATTAGTGTTCAATAATGCAGACACATATTCCGAGTAGTAGCTTGTTCCAGACTTTGGCGTAACTTTTAAAGAAGGCGGTCGCAGACCTACTAGTCTTGGAATTGTATTCCGCCACTGAATTTTGTTTTTGTCGTGTACAACAACAGCAGACTGTTGCTTACATCATTGTCATGTTGTGGTTGGACACGTGTATATTTCTGTGCATTATGCTCCCAAATGTGACTAGGTTGTCCTTCATGTGCCGCAGTCAGAGCGGTTCAAGCTTGTGCTTATCACATCGTTCACAGTATTCCAGTTTTGAGGAGGCACATAGAAGTCGCTTTTTGATTGCTCTCTAGTTTTTCCAGTACAATGCGGTCTTTCTTTTTTGAGCTACTATACACCATTGAACAATACTCTAGCGAGGAACTCGAAGCAGTTGATCAATTCGCTTACCATGGCAGCTGCATCTGCAACACTGAGCGCATGAGCACCGAAATCAGTTCACGTATTGCAAAGGTTTCAACTGCCTTCCTGAATCTGCGACATCTGTGGCGTTAGAAAAGGGTTTTTCTCAGACTGGAAGTCCGTGCTTACAAGGTCACAGTGAGGGCTGTCATAATCTATGGTATTGTGACTTGGTTCCTTCGATTTGAAGATTTGAGGCACCTTCAAGTCTTTGCTCATCTAATCCCGCTAGTGTCGGATGGTACCAGCCTGTCCGCAATGTTGATGTGCGTGGACGAGTGATAGGCAGTGATAATCTTTCTGATTCTTTTGAACGACTGATAGTACTGAATAAGTTGCGTTGACTTGGGCTCGTGCTACTTGTGCCCCGTCAAAGTTTACTGAAATGGGCTTAGTTTTGTGTGCCGGAGGTTGGCAAAAGTAAACTTGGTAGCGGCAAACTAGGTGCCTTCAGTCCGTCTCGCCTTTCAAGCTCGTGATTCGCCTTGTTCATGCCTCGAGACTTTACAGTACTTGATTTTCAGTCGTCACCAGTAATTTGTCTGCTGTCGTCACCTAGTCGGACTGACTGTTTAAAGTGTGTTTTGTTGCTTTTGTATCTATGGGTAATGGATGATTATGACGCGGGATAGTGAAAGCCACAAGAAAGCTGTCTTGTTGGTGCCGCCTTTGCACGTTAGCCTGCTCTTTGTGACGGTTTGTTGTCAACATTAAGTGTAGTCGCCTTCGCCCTGAATGTTTGCTTAAGGCCCGAAGTTTTATACTAGGCCCATCTCCCTGTTATTATTCTTCCTTCCATAGGTCACCGTGGTTATATAGCAGTGAAGCATCAGTTCAACTTTCTAATGTACTGCTGATGATGATGATGATTCTTTTATCTGTTTTCTTGTAGATGTGCAACAAACCAACGCAACCCCAAAATGAATCCCATACAGTTACTCCCACGAGGAACCTAGCTTCGCACGTTGCACTGTCCTCGGATCATTCCTTTAACGTTACGGAGCCCCACCGAGGATATGCCCAGAAGCGTCCAAAACCGTCTGATTCGTTAGAATCCTCTCCGGAAGTCGGACCCAGTGATTACAATTGCACTAGTCACTCAAACTCAGTAAACATGCATTACCAGTTAGATCCCGACCTCTCTCCTCATTTCCTTCCTCGTGGGCCTCGCTCAACGCATGAACACAGTCCGTCTAGCTGCCAAGCGCCCATCCGCCTCCGCCTCAGCGTACCGTCAGCCCAGTCAGGACGTCCGGAGTCCATCTCTGAATGCGCCTCAGTACCAGTGTATCCACCTCACTACCATTGCCACAGAGAGAGGTCGGCATCCGACAACTCCATTCCTCCAAATCTACTGAACTTAGCAGATGGTGGCCCTGATCAAGTTAGCTCACTTTCCATTGATGCATCATTTGATGTTTCCTCGACTTAATCTACCATGTTGGAAGCTACTGCTTCGTGTTACCCTACTCGCCCCTGACCAACTCAATAAGTTCAGTCGTTGAACTTCGATTCTTGCACCGGAGTGCACTGGACCTAATGAAAAAACTAATGCTATCACTAATGTTACATCTTGAAAAATTGACAATAATTATAATCGGTAAATGTGGGTGATCCCGAGTATCCTATGCGGAGGACCAGGGCCATCAGCCTTACGCAGCTCTTCGGTTCGTTTCATCACGTCTCATGTTTTACCATGTCATTGACTGACCACCTCAGAGTTCTACCCATTTAGGTACATTATTAGTAGTTGGTACACACCAGGGTAACCTCATATGCATGAGGAGAACATGACTTAGCCAGTGTAGGCGGTTCGAGTTTAGTGGATGCTCTATGGCGGCACCTGCAACACTGGTGCAAGCCACCATACACTGTACTCATTCGGTACTTTGCCTAAACTGCGCATCTTCATCTGAACACGCTCACACTCCGACGTGCGCTTAGATCCTATAGTCTACGCAGCATTACTTCAGCCTTCCTTCATCTCGGTTTTATTTGGGCTATCCAATAGTTTTTGACAACTTCGGTTCCAAAATCTACAGTTATGTGACCTGTCTTAATTTGAGCTGCTTTGGATTGTTTCGACTCACCGGGACAGTCATAATTAAAGGGTCCTCATGCTTTTTCTGCCTGTGTCTTCAGACTACTCTGCATCGCCGTCTACTTCCCACTACTCTTGCCAGACCTGCGACGCTCTAATGTGTACCCACACATTTGAAAACATGTACCTGCGTATCCCATCACCGCTTAGATTACACGACGTTGCTCAAAAGCTGTGCTTGCAATTCGTCGTTTCTCTTGTAAAGTCGTTTCTATCCCATGAGCCTGCGTGTCGCTGGACTAATCAACCAATGGGAAGCCCAAGAAATGAAGCGGCGGATGTTGAACTGGTATCTCACTTCACACTCTCACCGTTTGGACTATTTTCTCTTCTGCTAGTCTACCCGCCAGTCCATGGCGGGTTATCTGCTTGCTGTGGGGATGAAACTCTGGTCTAGCTGCCGACTATTTACACGACCCGAGCACTCCCACCTTGGTCATCCGGACATCGGTTGCTCTTGTGCTCCTTTCTTAATGGATTTGCCACTTTCTTCGGGACACTGAAGCACCAGTAGAAAAGCAACCAACTGGTAGTGTGGCAAAAAAATGACAGAGAAACCGCTATAAAGGCTGTTTGATGGTTATTGGGGTTAGTGTTATCATTTGCTACAGGATCTTGCGTTCGCTTTTTCGCTTATGCCTACCGTACTTTGGCTGTTTATTTTCTTGGTAATAGAAGTGTTTTGTTTTATTTCTATTTAGTCATTTATAGTTTAAGTATCACAAGCCTTTTATTACGATGGCAGCGTGAGATATGATGTATCCATCTACTACAATCCTGTACCCATATTTAAGTGTGTCAACCAACATTTTGCTGGTTATGGTAGTTGCTCTCTGGTCGCGATCTTTTTCTTTTCGCTTGCCCTCATTAGTTTACATCATTATCTGACTTATGTTTCGATTTGGAAGTTTTCATATTCCACCCTCTCTTTAGGTCGGAAACGGAGCTTTATCTGGATCTCATTCCACTCAGGATGGCCGAAAACGGCAGCATCATATAACCAGCGTTCTCCGTTTCCCGGTTTATGACTCCGCAGATATTGAACGCGGTCCGAATATTGTGGGCACCACTGTCGGCCTAATCGATCTATCGGCCTTTTCCTCCGACGGCGAGCCAGGTCAGCTCAAGTGCCCTAATAACGGGTGCCAATGTAAATCTCCCCCATCCTCTGTTGGATCCCCACCAACTTCTTTTGGTGATACCACCCCACAGTCAGCTCTTCCCTTGCAGACCATGGACTTCCAAAACAACGGAAATGCAGTTGGAGACCCGATAGACTGCACTGATCCATCATTCGTTTCCGAATCACTAAGCAACGGCACCATCCCGTTCGCTACGAGTAACGCTCCAAATTGTAACACATCTTGTCCACCTGCCACTTCCAATCCAACTCCATGTTGTGGCCAGTTTGGGGTTGAATTTGACGACGGACTGCGCAAACCACATAAGAGTCCCAATGAAGATTCCAGATCTCCTTGCAACTGGTCCATGACAGACGATGTGCTGCATTTGGTAGAGTATGGTCGTCTTCTGCGATCCACTGCTTTGGAGTTACTACAACAAAACGCAATTAATCCTACTCAGATCCAGCTTCTTGTCGTGAGTCGTATTTGCTTTTTTCGTTGCGTCTGCTTGTTAACTATCTCCCGTTTTGCCATCTCACTCCTCTGTATCTGAAGCCACAAGCTCCCAGTCTTCAACGGATTGACTACGTCTCCTTCTGACGGTGTTATATTTCAAAGTATTTTTTAATTGGCCGTGATGAGTGATGTCCTTGTTTGTTCTCTTCTGAGGTTGTGACGGTTTCCAGCTTGGTTCACAAACCTTTCTTCACATCCTCCACTTTCAAACGCACTTGTACGCCATCATCTTGGACGATGTCATTCCCCGACCGATGGCTTGCACTCGTAATAACTTGACGACTACTATGTTTTTGCACCACGTAATGTGAGCCTCGGTTGGTGAATTGCTTCGAGAAATTCATGGTTTATCGATTGTTATCCTGCCAAGAGCTCCCACTTTTATTCAACCTAAACAGCTTGTTTGTCATATCGCTTTTATTTTACTTTATCCTTCCCTGTGATTCATTTGGCTCTTCAGAACTGATATTTGTCGCCTTTAACTTCCGATCTCGAAAAACTTCTCTTTTGCATGAAACTCATTCTTGACTTGATCTATTATTCGTACTCTACGCTTTGCTGCGATATATGCTCATTTATCGAGTCAAGGAAAAGATCTTGGTGTTTTTTTGTCTGCCTGTCTGCTCATGCCACGCGCGATCCTTCTATAGCTACCAAACCCATATTTTCCTACGTTCCGATTATCGTTTACTCTCTTTCTTCTTATTTCTAAATCGCTGTTCTACTTTCTTTCATTATAAGGGCGCCTTCGGTCTGATTGCCTACGAAAACCCTTACACCAGCCCATTCAGGCAATTCCTTGATCCCACGCATAGAGAGCGTTTGGCTGACGCTGTAAATAGTGCAATATTGGGTAAGCTTACTTTACAAAACGCCCCTTTTCCATTTGAGTTTTTGTGCTCATCTAAGCACATTGTCATCTTTAAGAGGAGCTATTCTTTTAAACACATTTCCTTCCAAGCAAATTCCAGTAAAACCTCCAAAGTTGACCACTTTTTCATAGCTTGGACAGTCACTGTGTAAACTCTATGCACCCAGACCTCTGTGTGTTCACCGCCTCTGTGAAGTGTATGTTGACCACTTAATCTATGACAGTCAGTAATAATTCCATCCCCATGTGTCGAATTTCTACCTATGCAACCCCCCATAAGTTGACCATTTGTGGGCGTAGCACCCGATGTTTCCCGATTGGCTTGTTTGTTCCGATAATAGTGTGCAGCGGGACTGCTATGTGTGAACTTCTGACCCCCAACTCAGTGCACTTTACATTTGAGGATACGTAGAAATTCGTCACATCTAGACTCACTCAGACAGCCGTCACATGCCCGAAACAGCACTGTACGCGCGTTTCGTCCTTTCGGGAATCGTCAGCAGTGCGCATTCCATCGGACCCTGGTAGGGCTCGAACCCGCAACTCGACTGTTGCCAGTCCGTGGTTAAGACCACTGAGCTACGGGGGACGGCAACGACCATCGTAAATAAGTTACTAGATGTGATATAGCGCCGCTCACTATCCACTGACTTACACGTTGCTGCAATGCAGAGGACAGGGTAGCCCCCTCACCAAACGACGAGCTTACCAAACTTAAGCCGCCGATTAACTTATGACATTAGTGAGCGGCGCTATATCACATCTAGTAACTTATTCACGATGGTCATTTCCGTCCCCCGTAGCTCAGTGGTCTTAACCACGGACTAGCAACAGTCAAGTTGCGGATTCGAACCCTACCAGGGTCCGATGGAATGCGCACTGCTGACGATTCCCGAAAGGATGCAACGCGCGTACAGTGCTGTTCCGGGCGCGTGGCGGCTGTCTGAGTGAGTCTAGATGTGACGAATTTCTACCTATGCCATTCAACTCCCCCTACTACACTTCTGTAATTTGAGGATACAGCGTGTTCTCTGTGTGTATGTGTATATGCTTGTTTAGCCCGGCCGTCAGCGTTTACGCGCACGCGCATTACCTAGATGAATGTGAGTCCACACAGATCCGCACCCACGGAATGACCTAGAACGGTTTGTATTCAACCTCCCTCACCTGTCCACATACACAGTCAAGCCTACGTCTACCCCTAAGAAAATGTGTGCACTCATCGCACAGGCCGCAATCAGGAGTTTGATTGATTCAAACACACCATCAACCACCAAGCATCAGTACATTAGCACTTTGGATTGTGGCGAGATTGACGTCTACATTCACATTAATTGTCGAGCGTTTATCCGGCTCTATTTGGTGTCGGCCTGAGAGCGAAACCAAATCAGGTTTGCTATTTACTGTAATTAATGTTGCGTAAATAGATCTACTCCGTGCTTTGAACAAGTTAAGTCATTACGAGTAATCCAACATTACGACCCAAATGAAAAGATCTCATGAGTTGACCTAGAAGGAAAAGTGTAGTCTGCTGCATTTTCTGGAAAGAAGTAGCCAAAGAAAGACGGCGGAGCATTTTGGTATTAGCAAGACAACAGTACGCAATATCCAAAAACAAACACGAGTAGTTGGAGATATCCGATGATGAAAGGGGACTTCAGCAGCGGAAGAGGCGAAAACCTTCGCACGATGAAGTCAATGAAGCTACGTTGCACTGATTCAAGCAATTGAGGGAGGTTAACGCTCGATTTTCCTGGCCGCTGGTTCAAGAAATGGCTAAAAGATTTTCACCAAAATTTAGGGTTGCAGATTTCCAGGCATCCAGTAGTTGGTTAGAGAAATTAAACGGCGACGTGAAATTTCACAAAATTTTGTGTGTTATATCCAATGAAGTTCCTGAAGAATTTGTTCAAGACTTCATCGAAAAATTTTCTAACTTCAGCAAGGGCTTCAGCAATGACGACATTTTAACGCTGACGAGTGGGGTCTCTTTTACAAGTTGATGCCTAACTGAAGCCTGGTTATAAAAGATGACAAATGTAAGTGTGGAAAACATTCCAAAGAACGTTTCATAGTTCTGTTGGGCGCTAGCTCAAGTGGGGAGAAGCTAAAGCCCTTAGTCAGTGATAAATCTGCTAAACCATGTGCGTTCAAAAACCTAAATCCTGAAAACCTTCCGGTCGCCTGGAGATCAAACCGATCTGCTTGGATGACTGCTGCCATATTTAAGGAGTGGATCAGAAGCATCGACAAAAAATCATGAAGAAGAAACGCTTCATTATCCTAACAGTGGACAACTGTCCTAGTCGCATCCATGTAAAAATTCACACAAATATTAGATTTCTGCCTCCAAATATGACTTCACAAATTCAACTTCTGGACCAGAGAATCATCAAACTGTTCAAAATGCACTACGGAGCCCAGCTCATGCAATGGGCTATCGCAAAATTGCATACTATTGATACAAATGCGGTAGGAACTTCATCTTTTGCTTCAGTTAATGCCTTGGATGCTGTGCTTTGGATGAGTTCCGCCAGTTATTATACAAAAGTATTTCAGAAAAGCCGGATTTGTTCCGTCTGTCGAGCGCGATGCTATCGCCTTCTATCTCAATTGGCAGTATTCTACGGGGTAGATTTTAAAGAGTTTGTTGAAATGGATGATGACTTGCTAACTTGCACTTAACCAGACCCAGATGCTATTTTCTTCTATGGGAACAAAGGACAAACACCTGATCTTACTGATGAAGAAGAAGTAGAACTATGACGATGGTTTGGAAATCACAGAAACTGCAAAGGGAGATGAAGTTAGATATCTTTTAATGCAACTGAAATCATTTGCTGTGGGAAAATGTCCAAATATGCTTAGTTGTGCAGCTCGTGCTGAGAGTGCTTTTTCAGCTACCTTTATGATAACAGAAAGGAACAAAGGCTGCTTTTTTTTCTTCAAAAATACGATTTAACGCGAAATGCACGCTGCATTTTGCTTTATTATAACATTGTATGGAGGAACTGCGTTTACCGTTACGTGAGACCTCATCTAATGTGTTTGCAACGGGTTTTGTGAAAATAAATTTCATACTATACTATTCAGAACGGGAAAATAGGTTACGCAAAGTTTTGGCATAGAACCTCCATATGTTGACCACTTTGGTCCTGACCATTGGGTGGTCAACTTACGGAGGTTTTGCTGTACCTTCGCTCCGGAGTGTCGCTCGGTTTTCGGCACTCATGTCGTATCCTCTCTGCCAGGAACTGGGAATTGCGGACACTTGAATTTATGTAACCGCGCGAGATTCTCCATTCATTTCAGCTGACGTCATCGCGACATAATGCGACATATCATACCATGCTCCAGACGGTTCCGTTGCGAACTCATACTGCCGCCATCCCGCCTCCCTTACCCACCGGTGACATCATGTCACGTCGCCTCCTTGCAAACTTGTTCTACCATTTATTACCAATCCGCCTCCCGAGCTAGCATCATATATAAACTGCATTTTAGTCACTTCTAAGTATTTCCGAGAGCTTTGCTTGTGGCGATTATCTGAGGTCTGCTATTGCTTACAGCTTCTATCGTGTCAGTGTACGCTGCTTTTCCTCAGCAGTAACCGATTGTTTATGTTAAACTCCCTTTTATACAAAATACGAAATATCATGGGATTCGACTACTCGGTTTCTGGACTGATTCAAACCCGCTCACGTTTTTGGCCGAAGATGCATAACGATCTCCAATCCGATGTTAAGTATCCGTTCTCGATATTTGTTGTCTGTGCCAGAACGGTGCCCTATTCAACCCACTTATATCTACCGGTTTTGAGGCGGTGTCAACCCGCACATCCATATGGTTTACACAACCTTCAGAGTGTGGCTCAGCTTTAACTCATTCATTGAAAGTCGTTTGCCCGTGAGACTTGATTGAGTTTCCTTTGAATTCCCTAACCTCCTCATATGTTCTATATCCCCGGGTTCACAATTCTCGACTACTTATCAGAATTCCCATCTCCGTCTGTATCTCATTGTTGTCGTCTACCTACATTATTTATCCTCTTCTTTGGTCCTACCCACGAGATTTTCCCTTTAAAAACCGCTTTACTTCATACGACATTTACCGTGCGACGTCTTTTTTGCGTATATTTCTAGTCCAAGCTCTGTCTTCACCTTGCGTCCGTCAACTACCGTATGGTTGTTTATTCCACACTCATTAACACGCACATCTTACTTGGCTGGGCTGCGCACATTTCCATGTGGTCCAAACATCATCTTTCTTGAACCGGCACTTATTCCGTCACTTCCAACAGAGGGGGTGCACCACACACCTATCTGCACCATTTTTGGCTTTGGTAATGGCATGAAGGCGAAGACCCGGTTTATTCAGAGCATAATAAATACTGATTGGCATCCGCTGTGCTCTATCGAACTTTGGACTCACTCTTCTTGCCGTGCATCGATAGACACAATGCTCCTTTCTGTCGCTTTTGTGTCACTTTTGCGCGTCTGTGCATGTTCATAATGCAGTTTTGATTCATGCAATCCAATGTGCATAGCTTGTCTCACTCCAATGGTTCTGTAGGATTTGCGCTGTACTGGATCGATAAGTCCTTTTCGACTCAAGTCACCCCTTGCCGGTGTAGGTTACTCCTATTTGACTGATCAACTATGCTCGCTACATACTGCATCTACACGGTAAAACTGGATCAGTTACCTTATCTTGCTTGTTCTTACGCTTGTTCGACCACCGATACCCACATAAACATAACCCGCGTTTTATGGGAGCACCGACTGAGTATTGCCACACATGATGTTTGGCCCCACACAATTTAGTACATCCCTGAACTGAACTCGAATCGCCTTCAGCAGTTTGGTTATGTGCTCCGCACGCCTTCTAGCCAGAGACCAATGCTTCACCTAGTAAAGGAACTCTTAGCTTGACATTAAATGTCATGCTAAAATGCTAAGATGGAAATCACTGGTCGCCTGAGT